GAAAAATCTCAATCAGTAGATGCCCTAGAGGTATTTATTAATGAGGTTGAAAGACAATTAGACAAAAAGATGAAAATTATTAGATCTGATAGGGGTAGTGAATTTTATAGAAAATATAATGAAACATGACAATACCCTGGTCCATTTGCTAAATTTCTTGACAGCATGGCATATGCGCTCAGTATACTATGCCAGATACACCGTAAATGATGTTGTAGAAAGGTGTAATCGTACACTAATGGACATGGTTAGGAGTATGTTGAGTTATTCTTCTTTACCCTTATCATTATGGATGTATACTTTAAAAACCATAATTTATTTATTAAACAGGGTTCCTAGTAAGGCAGTTCTAAAGACTCCTTTCGAACTGTAGACGGGAAGGAAACCCAGTTTGAGACACCTTCATGTTTGGGGTTGTCATACGGCAAATTTATAATCCACATGAAAAGAAACTGGACTCAAGAACAACCAATGGTTTCTTCATTGGTTATCCAGAAAAATCTAAAGGGTATAGATTTTATTGTCCTAGTCATAGTACGAAAATTGTTAAAACTGGAAATGTCAGGTTCATTGAGAATGGTGATATTAGTGGGAGTATGGAACCATGTAAAGTGGAAATCCAAGAAGTTAAAATGAATGTTCCTTTGCCTTTAACTTCTTCTCAAATTGTTGTTCCTATAGTTGTTGAACAGTTTAACGACTTTTAAGAACAACAAATAAATGATTATGTGGTTTATCTACAAGAGTCAGAACATGACTTTGGAATTAATAAAGACCCGGTTTCATTTTCACAGGTCGTGAAAAGTCAAAATGCTGATAAATAGTTTGATGCTACAGAAGATGAGTTGAAATCAATGGAGCATAATAAAGTTTGGGATCTTGTAGAATTGCCTAAAGGTTGTAAAAGAGTTGGGTGTAAATGGGTTTTTAAGATCAAACACGACTCAAATGGCAATATCGAATGATACAAGGCTAGACTCGTTGCCAAAGATTTTACTCAGAAGGATGACATTGACTATAAAGAAACATTTGCTCCTGTTTTGAAAAAGGATTCATTTAGAATTTTTATAGCTATGGTGGCTCATTATGACTTAGTGTTATATCAAATGGATGTAAAAACCACTTTTCTAAATAGAAATTTAGATGAAGAAGTTTACATGGACCAACCCTGTAAAACCCCGTATTTTTGTTAGAAGTATATGTGAATTATTGGTGATAGATAATTCTATTATGGTAAATGAC